AAGGAAGGAAGGAAGGAAGGAAGGAAGGAAGGAAGGAAGGAAGGAAGGAAGGAAGGAAGGTTAAAGAAGTGGCTTCCGATCTTCTTTACAGCAAGTACAAGCACATTTGATATCTCTCCACCCCCTTTAAAGTCACATTATATCGTTCGCTTCTTCCCATATCCCACCCCCCACCCCCCTTGGTTCATCTCCAGTTCTGATGACTATTGAGAGTTCTGACCCTGATGATCATCAGGGTGGGGAGAAAGCCAGATTACATGATGGAATTGTCATGAATTAAAGAGCCTTTCCCTTTGATTCTTCTCCCAGCGATGACACGGAAACCTTGAAAGAGCATATGGTGAACCTGCAAAACAATTGCCATGGGGGAAATTATACCTCTGCCCCAAAATACACTCAACCTACATCAATAGAAACCCATTTTCTTTCCTCTTTCCAAAGATTTCATAATCAAGATTCCTTCTCTCGGTATTGGCCTGAAGACCACACACTGGAAAGGCAGAGACGCAGCCAAGCAAGAAACACCAGTAAAATCAATGCAATTTCTAAAGAAACCCACAAATGCCACCAATTTTCCCTCTGCCCTGCTTTCTCTTTTGCTATGTATATATTTGGGCAGGATCAAAAACTGAAGTCTGTTGGAAACGGTGGTCTTTCTCCTTCTCTGCCCCTGAGGGTGGATGCTTTGTGGATCTCCTGCTGATTTATCTTCTACTTAGTTTTAAGCTTTAAAAAACTTGGTTTTTTAACATTACCCACTTTAAATAAAGGTGCCATCAACTCTGCATGTACTTTAATCAATTAAAGAGGTATATATTTGCCTATACACTAGACAATCGGTATAGATATTGGTATGGTGGCTTGCTCTGTTTTGAGGGCTGAGCAGCAGACATTACCAGTTCAAAACAGGTATTTTTCTTCTAGAAAAAGAAGAAAGTCTCTAGGAAGATTTGGCTACCACCTTTTAGCAAGTCTCATCTATGCCTCTCTGTGTCTGTATTCAGCTCTGCTGCCTGATTCTTCAAGAAAGCCTTTGCATTCGGAAACGTCATCCAAACGAGACGCTTTCAAAATCAATCTGTGTTTAAAATGGCTCATGCTTGTCCTGTGCAATGATTTCTCGCATTTCAGCCTGGCCTAGGCCTAGAACAAAAAACAATTTGGGGGCGTAATCCTAACCTCAGATATCCTACTTTTCATCAAGTGATCCCCGCCCGGTGCCTCCAGATGTTCCAACTCCCCTCCGTCCCAGTTGTAATTCAAACCCATTTGGAGACCACCATATTGGAAATGTGATTTCATAATCTCATCTGGAGGGGTGATCTTGGGGAGCTAGGGAATTCAAGGATATCTTCAGAGAGATTTCAAAATGCTTCATCCTTAAGTGAGGACAGAAGGACATACTCTGCAGACTTGAGCCATAACTGTGGTTCTTCTCAAGAACCTCTCAATTCTTCTCAATCCTCATTCTTGTGGTGTCCAACCAGATGCCTTCTGCAAGAGCCCCCAAGCAAGACAGAAGGCTCTCCCTTCTGTCATCCAGCAACTGAATTCACAAGTGCATTGTCTATGAACATGGTGATTCAGATAACCCTTCCTCTCCCAGCTAGATATATTCCAGATGTACCTCCACTGCAACCCCCAGATATTCCTTTCTCTGGGAACCTGGTTTGGAGAAGGCAAAATCAAACAACGGTTTTTGGTTTTGGTTTTTTTAGCCCCACGAATCTGTCTAGCTGCCTTTAAAATGAGGTAAGGCAGCAGTTACAAAAGTAGCATGAAATGTGAAGAAGGTATTGTGGGGGAAAAAAAAAATACTGTATCGGTAATCAACCTGAAAGACTAAACTCTACATTCAGGGAGAAGAAAAGGTCTTTTCTCTTAACCATTCTATCCCACATTTTCTAAGGCCCTATCTGTTGACCATTAATCATCCTTTTACTTCTGCTAAGCAGGTCTCACTTTCAGTTGGGCAATCAAGATTTAGGGAGAAGGATGGATCAGGAGCTTTGGGCTACGCTATCTAAATACTCAGAGGCAGGCTATGTTACATTCATCCTTGCAAATAAATCTCTTGTGCACTGATGATGTTATCTAGCCTGGTAATAAAACATCTGCAGGAAAACAAGCAAGCTGAGAGAACGCCACGAACCCAACAGTTCAACCCTGAGCTACATAGATTCTCTACTATTGAAATAAATCTCTTCCTGTGCATTTATTACTAGCCTGGTAAATAATAGAAATTCCACAGGATGTGGGAAGATCGATCGATCTTCTGCAAATGGAGGAGGAATGGGAAAGATCCCTCTAGCTTTAGCTTGGTTTCTGAGCTAGCTGTAATAAAAGCCACTCCAAATGTTTGCTTGCCTGCTCAGAATTCCTGATCGCCTGTGGTGACCAAGCATGTTGGTAAATATATGGTCGACCAATGTCCAGTATAAGGAATAACAGATAGGTGCTTCTGAATCTGCCAGAAACGTCCAATCTGTTTTACTGGCTCCTGAAAATGAGACCAACCTTTGCCCTGTTTCATGAAGGGGTAGATAACTCCATGACAGTGATTAAATTCACAGCAATATAGTATGTTAATTAAGAATGGCATTTCCCCTTCTCCAGCACTTCTATCTCAGCATACCAGAACCAGGAACTAACAACACGAGAAAGCTACTGCTTTTGTACTGACTATCAAATAGATGCCCATATTTCTTTAATCATTAGGGAAGCAGAATTTGTAGTCCTCTCAAATACTGGTTGGGCTCCAACACACATCAGCTCCAAATAGCATGGCTAGAGGTTAGAGACAATGAGGAGGACAGATGAACATCATCTGTAGAGGCCTCTGAATGATGAAAATGCAACGTGGGTGATTATCATAAGGTTACTATGGTCCCTTCAGCCTGATATAAGCACATCCTACTGGTAGAAAACAGGTAACACACTTAGTGCAATGATTTGCAGTCCAGTGACAATGCAAAATCCATAAAACATGGTTTGAAGGTGATGGAACCGGCCTCTGGCCCATGTCAAGCAAAGACCAGGTGACCACGGACTTCAAAGATGACTTGGGTCTTTCACCTGAACCAACTGTCTATGGGTTATGGTTGTGGTGGAGTTAAAGAAGGTGGTGGACCTCAGGGACACAACCTTGTGCTTCCAGAGGAGAGACAGGATACAGAGGTAGGCACCCAAAATAAAAATTAAATGGAGGAAAAGAAGCAGCAGAAACAACTGAATCACCAGAACATGAGGGCTAGTCTTCCCTTAGGTACAGAAGCCAGCTGGGTAACTTTGGGCCAGTCGCTTCCTCTCAGCCCAACTCACTTCACAAGGGCAATTGTTGGTTAAGGGGAAAATAGGAGGTGGTAGCATTATTCACACCACCTTGAGTTGTACAAATAAAGATTGGATATAAATCAAATCAAATCAAATCAATC